TTGGTGGATTGATTGATTGAAGGATTGATTGACTGATTGATTGATTGGATTGATTAATGGATTGAATGATGGATTGATTGATGGATTGATTGATTGAAGGATTGATTGAATGATTGATTGATTGAATGATTGATTAAATGGATTGATTAATGGATTGAATGATGGATTGATTGATGGATTGATTGATTGATTGAATGATGGATTGATTGATGGATTGATGGATTGATTGATTGATGGATTGATTGATTGAAGGATTGATTGAATGATTGATTGATTGATTGAATGATTGATTAAATGGATTGATTAATGGATTGAATGATGGATTGATTGGTGGATTGATTGATCGATTTTTGACTGATTGAATTGATTAATTCATTAACTGGAGGATGAATTGATTGACAGAATGGTTATCTTTACTGACTGATTTATCTGAGTGCCTGATTGATTTGTTGATTGATTGATCAGCTTNATTGGTTGATGGTTGATTGACTGATTGTTTGATGGTTGATTGACTGATTGTTTGATGGTTGATTGACTGATTGGTTGATGGTTGATTGACTGATTGGTTGATGGTTGATTGACTGATTGGTTGATGGTTGATTGACTGATTGGTTGATGGTTGATTGACTGATTGGTTGATGGTTGATTGACTGATTGGTTGATGGTTGATTGACTGATTGGTTGATGGTTGATTGACTGATTGGTTGATGGTTGATTGACTGATTGGTTGATGGTTGATTGACTGATTGGTTGATGGTTGATTGACTGATTGGTTGATGGTTGATTGACTGATTGGTTGATGGTTGATTGACTGATTGTTTGATGGTTGATTGACTGATTGGTTGATTAGGACTTTTAATAGATTGATTGGTTGATGGGCTAATTGATTGATCTACTATTTGATAACAGAAAACAGGTTTCTAGTCTGGATGATACATCACAGTTGGTATCATCTATTAATGAACTCCATAGCAAGTACAGAGTACGAAAACTTGCCATAGCAAAAAAGGTATCACACTATAATTTGTTCAATAAACTCAATTAAGACCGTGAATTTCTATGACCATCTTCCACTCACTGAAGACAGTTTACTTTAGTGTAGCCTGCATACATAACCTGCATGCTTCTGTCAATATTTTCAGTTGTTTTTATTTCTTTTTGCTTTCAGCCATTACTAGGATATGAGGAGCCAACTATTTTAGGTCCACCAATCAGAACACTTGACGACATAAAGAATTCTGTTGCCAAGGACATTATCCAGGTACAAAATG